TCCTCCCAGGGCAGTCTGTCCGAGCCCGAACGCACACACCTGTCTCTTATACACATCTATTTTTCTTTATGTCACCGGGCCCGACGTCCGGGACCTCCCCCCCCCCCCCGGACCGTCTGGGGTTTCGCCCGGTCGGACAACTGGTCAGACGTCCTCTCGGGCCAAAAAAGAAAAAAGTAAAAGTAAAAGAAATCCGAAAAAGAACTATGTTATGCAGAAAAATAAACTGAAGAACTTTTGCCTTGGGGTCACATCGAAATTCTTTATCCAATTCACAATATAAAATGAAATTAAAAACACCCCCATTTTTTTTTTTTTTTGGTGCTTTAAGCTGCTGAAAATGGAGTTGTCCGGGACCTCCTGACTGTCCGGCCAGGACGTCCGTCCGGGCCGTCCTGCCATCGGACAACTGGTAGCCTTGTTTTTTTTTCTTTTTTCCCGTGTTTAAAGCCTCTGCCTGTGCCATTTTATCTCTTGTTTAAAACCTTTTTTTTTATAATAATATTTATTATTTGTTATCCTCTTTCTCGTGCGCGGCGGTCGTGTTTCTGTCGTCTTATGCTTGTTTGCAGATATGGTCCATTCTGGATCTGTACGACTTTGATCTTCTTAGCTTCCGCTCTCGGCAACATCGCCAACTACCTGTCGTCGTCGAAGCATACGGATTGGCATTTGGATATCAACAAGGTGTCAAGATCGACAACGCTATTGTACGGATATGTGGGGCTCGTTCCGCTGCTGCTATTTGGAGTACTCAAGTACTATGGGATGACCTCTGGACTGGTGCAGCTATGGTGTATGTATGGCTATTCGCTTTTCATCTATATCCCATGCATGGTGAGTGCGCGTTCTCCTCCTCCTCCTTGGGCCTCGTTCCGGCTCCACTATTACTCACCAAATGTGCAAAATGAGAACGAATCTTCCGCTAGAAAATGGACAAAAAAATACACCGCCATGCTTTTTTTAAGTTTTTTTTGTCTTTTGCGCGCATGTGGCAAGTAGTGGAGCGAGGCCCCTTACCATGACCGATGCACCTGCCTGATGGCTGAATGTACACTGTACTCCTGCAAACTTGAAAAAAGAAAAAAGAAAAAAGAAAAAAGAAAAAAGAAAAAAAAAGAGGCGCTGCGACGACCCTCCGATATCATTGTGAAAAATTGACGGGTCCCAGGTAATTCGGGAATGTCGCTCTTCTAGGCCCATCTGGATTCGAACACAGGTCTGTAGTTCAGTAGTACGACTGCACACATATCTATCTGCCGATGAAGTCTGATGAGTCTATCAAGCATCTGAGATTCTTCTTTCCTCCTCTCTTCTTTTTTTTTTTTTTTTTTTTTTGAGAAGTTGTCGCATTTATTAGCAAAGACAGAGATCAATTGAGGCCCGGGACCGCACAATTCCACCCGGGGGATCATGCTGGTGCCATTACCCAGCTTCGGCTGAAAACCCGAACTGGAAACCGGGTCCAGTGTCCCATGCTCTGCCTGTTTTAACTAGAAAACTTCCCAAAAGTAATAATCACTTGAAGGTCAGTAAAAAGTTAGGCACGTAAGGCTGCCTGCTGGAAACCGGGTCCAGCGTCCCACTATCCTTGTTGAACTGATACCTTCGAGTAACTGCATCTCACTCAGTCGACCAACCAATTCTATTCTACAACTACTAAAAGCACAAAGAGAGCTCCAGGAGCAGAGTGATCCCCTCATCTTTTACTGTCCAAAACACTGTAAGGAGCCTGAGCTGCCAAGAATCGATACATCTCAAGTCTACTCTTCGCCGGTTCTCTCTCTCTTTCACCCCGACCAGCAGCGTTCCCACTGCCCCTTGTCCCACTCTCACTGCTCAAGGTGGCATTGCTGTTAGCAATTCCGTGGATTTCACCCTGAAACCACGTTTAAATTACTTCCCACTCCTAGTTGTAACTACTGCAGCAACCTTCTCAGAACAACTGCAAGCATTCCGACTGAATTCCTCCCCCCCCCCCCCCCCCCCCCCCCCCCCCCCCCCCCCCCCCCCCCCCCCCCCCCCCCCCCCCCCCCCCCCAACCCCGCCACCCCCCCCACACACACACCCCCACACCCCCCCCCCCCCCACCACCACCACCACCACCACACACACACACCCTCAACTCGCGGTCATGCCATTGGGTGTCCATGGCTTAGTGGGTGTGTAGAGTGGGTTTTATGACTATGTTAGTCAGGTTAGTTTCTCAGACTTACTACTGTTCTTGTCAGGGGTTTGGACCAGGTTCAGACCTGCTAGGATGGCAAGGTAACCGTTGGTGTGAGTAAAGTGGGGACCACTTTTCTCTCTCAGGGATGGGTATTGCTAACTCTGGGCGATGTGGTGAGTCGTTATCCATCAGTCAGTCAAATGCATCCTGGGCAGACTGTCGGGGTTCAACCTCCTGATGAGTCGGTGAAAGTCCGACGAAACAGTCTTGTACAGTCGTGCTTTTTTTGAGTGTATAGCGAATATGACAACACACCCTCAACTCTATTAGGGGAACCTTCACATCCTCACTGTCAAAGACACTGTAAAGAGCCTGAGCTGCCGAGACGCGGGTTTCCCACCACCTCCCAATCGATACACCTCAAGTCTGCTCTTCACCGGTTCTCTCTTTCCATCCGACCAGTAGCGTTCCCACTGCCCCTTGTCGCACTCTCACTGTTCAAAGCGGCACTGCTACTAGAAGTTCCATCAATGTCACCCTGAACCACGCACTCCGTCGTAAACTACTGCAGCAACCTTGTCAAAGCAACTGCAAGCATACAAGCTGAATTCCTCCCCTGCATTTCCTCAACACTATCAGGGTAACCTTCTCGTCTCTCACTGTCCGAAACACTGTAAAGAGCCTGAGCTGTTGAGACGGGTTTACCACCGAGCACCCAGTGGATACACCTCAAGTCTGCGCTTCACGGGTTCTCTCTTTCCACCCTTCCACCCTACCAGTATCGTTCCCACTGCCCCTTGTCTTACTCTCACTGCGCAAGGTGGCACGGCTACTAGTGGCTCCGTGAGTTTTATCCTGGGCCACAAAAAAATTACTTCCTCTCTCCTTCGTAAGCTGCAGCAGCAATGTTAATCAATCATGACATCTGCTAAGTTCTAACCATTCACCCAGAAGACAAGCGAAAGTGTCAACTGCTGTTGTTTAACACATATTTAACCAAATTACTACGCGTAGTACGCGGCCAGACTATACCATGACCGGTTGCTATGTCCATTGTGTTGCGTTGTGTTTCTAAATATGAAACGCGCAGCCAATAGTTGTTTGGCTTGCTATTCTGCACAACATACTTTTTTTTTTTTTTTTTTTTTTTTTTTTTTTTTTTGGCGGGATATGGGCCGGAACCCCGCCCGGCGCAGTTGCCCGGCCGGGCGTCCCGAGCAGGTCCCGTGCCAGCTTTGGGGACCCGGGCGGCACGGCTAGTAGCCCAGTTATTAATTTTATTAAATTAGAATTTTATCATAATTCTATTTTTTCAATTTTTTGTTATAAAAACATTCTGAACCCTGTTGAACTGAATAACGCTATCATTAAGGGCTTTTTCCTAGCATGGGAGAATTATGAATGCACTCAAAAATGAGTCAAAATCAGTATTGAAATTTGAAATGTTGTTTCAAACCAGATGATGATGATGATGATGATGATGATGATGATGAAGTATGCACAACAGAGGAGTAGCGCACACAAAGCCTACACGTGTAGATGCTTTGTATAAAGACAGTCAAATACACTCGATAAAATATATACACTCGATGAAATCTCAGAGGGTTACAGCAGCACGAGTGTGATCGGAATCGGCATCCCTGATGTGCGTTTCGACTCGTACACCTCCCCAGTATCTCCGGAAGATGTGGGTCGGCATTTCCCCGATGGCTGCGTGGCATCCCCGATGCACATTACAACAGCAGGAGTGTGATGCGAAACGGCATCCCCAATGCGCGTTTCGACACGTACACCTCCCTGATATCTCTGAAAATGCCGAAGCTGTGGTTCGGCATCTCACCGATGGCTGTGTGGCATTCCCGATGCGCGTTACAACAGCAGGAGTGTGATCAGAAACGGCATCCCCGTGGCATCCCCCCGCAGTCATGCTCACCGGTTCCTTCTCCCACCTTGAAAAAACACACCGCTAACCCACTTGCGTGTACACCTCCCCAGTATCTCAGGAAATGCCGAAGCTGTGGTTCGCATCAGTCCTGAAATAGGATCGAACACTTACGCAAGCAGCACAAGGTCATTAAGTGCCCATGGAAAATGGAAATCAACGCCGGAACTTGTATGTCTGAACAGGATCAGTCAGTTCCACTAGGTCCCATGCACACCACACCACGAAAAACCACATCGGTCCCAGTGGTGCGGACGGTAGTATCAAAACAACGACGAGGGCCAACGGGTCTCGTTGGAAGGGCACGGTAAAAACTAAAAAGTTAAAAACACACTACACGACACTGCAGTAAAAAAGAAGGCCAAAATCGGTCTGGCTAGTGTGGGACTTATCTGCTTATAGCCACCTCTACCGAAGTACCTACTTCATGGAAAAAGAATCGGTATGCCTTGTCCCAAACCCTATCTAATGCGTGGTTGTTATACCTGTATTTGGGGCAACTTCCAGTTCAGATGCAGCGATAATGACCGAGTGTTCTATGCAGGTGAAGACGGTAGTCTTCTGAGAACACACTTGTGTCTCTGGATTAAAAAAAAAAAAAAAAAAAAGAGGAACAAAAAACACTCTCTGAATTCAGAGAGAGAGAGAGAGAGAGAGAGAGTAATAAAATGTTGTTTGAAACTTTGTCTGCAGCAAATAAAACCTACAGTCGTTGTGATAGCTGTATTTGGGGCAGCTTTCTGTCTAGTTAGAGCGTTAATGACCTTATGATGATCATCATAGTTTTGCCTCTTATGATGATTGCTGAATCAAGCTTACGCTACCGTCTTCCCCCAAACAAAGCATATGGTCATCGTGTCTGTATTTTGGGCAACTTTAAGTCCACGTACAGTGGTAATGACCCTGTGTTCTATTCACGGGACGATGGTAGGCGCTGCACTAATCCTGACGCAACACGAAGCCAGACGGTGCTCAAAACCTGGTCCTGAACTTGAACTTGTGCGCATGCTACTACCCTGGACCTTGGGTCTGCAGTGCACAAAACCGGGTCCCTGGTCCTGAGCTTGGACCTTTGCGTGTGCTACTACCCTGGACCTTGGAACTGCAGTGCACACAACCTGGTCCTGAGCTTGGACCTGTGTGCGTGCTACTGCCCTGGACCTTGGGTCTGCAGTGCACAAGACCTGGTCCTGAGCTTGGACCTGTGCGTGTGCGACGATCCTGGACTTTGGACCTGCAAACTTTCTGTCTGGCCTGAGTAAGGGCACACGTCCACTGAAACCTTCTTGGTCTAAGAGTTGAGTCGCAGATGCCTCGAGCAAAGCCCAAGCATGAGTGAGTATAAGCTGTATAGCGTAAGTTACCCAACGAATGGTTGTTCTATAAGCCTCAAACAGCCTGTCAGCATCGCTGAAAGTTGCCCCGAATACAGCGATAATGACCGAGTGTTCCGTTCGGGTGACGACGGTAATCTCTTCTCCTGACCACAATGTCCTATCATTATGACCGTACTAGACTGTGACACAGTGTTCATATACATTCAGCCTGATTCCGGATGATACACAGAGGATATATATATATATATGTGGAGAGAGAGAGAGAGAGAGAGTAATATATAATATGTATAATATATGTATCTAGGCTACCAGCCGGGCCGCCCGGGTCCCGGTGGCCAGCCTGTGCAAGGACCAGGGAAGGTCCCAGCAAAAAAAAAAAAAAAAAAAAAAAATCCGGAAAAAACTATGTTATGCAGAAAAATAA